TCTCATCACTACTCAAACATCTATCAAACTAACTTCACATCTTCATCTCTACTTCTAACTCTTCACATAAACTAATCATTCTAAACTTCATAACACCCTTATCCTATCTTTCCCCAAATCCCTGACTTACAGATCTACTTTCACATCAATATTTAATCTACTCATCAAAAACTCTTCTCTACACATCTCATCATCAACAATTCTCTACACTTCCAACTCTTAATTTTCTCACTCTTCTCTCCTCACAACTCAAACTACACACACCTTACACATAATAACATCAACACTTCACCTATATAACATACTCAAACACACACTCTCATACTAAACTAACAAACACTTCACTCACACACAACTACACTCACACTAACACATCAACACTTCTCAACACTATCTACTCACTCTATCTTCTCACATACACACTCACACTCTTACACAATTCTTCTCACAAATCATCTTACTAAACCCTATACATCTACTACATTTAACTATCATCACTTATCTTCTTTCACTCACTTCTACTTCTCTCACTCTCACTCATTCTCATCAACTCCCTACAACTCTCAAAAAAACAACTCACTCACCATTATCACTCATACTCTCATCTCTCTCTTAACTCTCACTCTCTCACAATCTCTCTCACTACCTTCTCATTCTTTCACTTCCTCACTCTATACTCTTCACAACATACATCTCATCTCTCCCACCCCCTCTCTCTCTCTCTTCTCTACTCTCTTCCCAATTCTCTGTTCTGTCTGTCCGTTGACTGTAGTCTCTCTCTAACTCTCTCACTTCAAATATACAATTCCATCACCATAAACTTTTCATACACTTGACTCCTCCCCTCTCACTCCGTTCACTCTTTTTCTACTGTCCTGTTCAGAGGAGATACTAGCTATCGAGCTAGAGATAGCGAGATGCGCGAGAGAGCTCTGCTAGCGATGAGAGAGATGATAGCGCGACAGAGATCACGCGAGCGATGTACGTCTCATCTCATCAATCTTCCACTCTCTCTCACACAATCACTCAAATCTCACTCACACTCTCTCCCCCAAACTCCAACACTATTTCTACTCTCATCTAAATATTTCTCATCTCATCCTCCCCCCAACTCATCTCACTCTCTCTCTCTTCTCTCTTCTCTTTCTCCTATCATCTCATCTCTCATCTCTCTTCTTCTCTCACACACACACGACACACACGCACTCTTCTTTCTCTCTCTCTCTCTTCTCTACTAACTCCTCTTATCTCTCTCTCTCACTCTCTCACTTCTCTCACACCCAACCCACGCACTCTCTCTTCTCTCTCTCTCTCTCTCTCTCTCTCTCTCTCTCTCTTTCTCTCTTCTCTCTCTTCCCACTCACTCCATCTCTCTCTGTCCACAGTCCTCCGTCTCAGTCTCATAGAAAGAGAGAGAGAGACAGGAGTGGTGAGAGAGAGAGAGAGAGAGAGAGAGAGGAGAGAGAGAGAGAGGAGAGAGAGAGAGAGAGAGACAGAACAGGACAAAAGAGAGAGAGAGAGAGAGAGAGATGGAAAGATTCTCTCTCTCTCTCTCTCTCTCTCTTGTCTCTCCATATCTCTCTCTCTACTTCACAATCTCTCCTCTCTCTCTCTCTTCGCTCTCCTCTATCTTCTCTCTCTTATCTCTCTCTCTCTTCTCTATCAACACCGCTCGCTCTCGCTTCTCAACACGATCTCTCTATCTTCTCTCTCTCTCTCTCTCTATTCTCTCTCTCAAACTCTCTCTTCTCTATCTCTCTCTCTCTCTCTCTCTGTCACAGTCTCATCTCTGTCTCTGTCCTTTTATCTCCATTCTCCTCTTTCTTCAAGCTCTGTATTTATATATCAGTGGTGTGTGTACGTATATATATATATATATATATATAAATCTATATATATATATTATTTATATTATATATAATAATATTTATTTTAACATAGATATTTATATACATTAAATATATAGATATACAAATATATTATTTTATATATATATTATATTGATATAGCTACGAAATATCATATAGATATATATAACATTAGCATATATACTATATTTATATATATATTTATATATATAAGATATATAGAATATATATTTATATAGATTATATTTATATATATATTTATATATATATTGAATAAGTTAGATATATTTTAGATACATATATATATTATAACATTATTTATTTTTCACTATATATATATTTACATATATATTGAATTAAAGAGTTTGAGTTATGTCATAGAATCATATTTGTACATAGTGTGTGTAGTGTATGTTTATATATATATAATGATATAGTATATATTCTTAGTGAGCTTATTGTATGTGTGATTCGTGTTTAAAGTGTGTGTTAGTGTTGTGAGAGAGTTTGTATTTGTCCGTCGAGATTTAAAAGATATTGAGTTTAAGTTGAATTGACGTGCTAGGACTTTAGTGTTTTTTATTCTATTGTGGTGTTTATAGTCGTCTAGATCTGTGAGACTGAGATTGACTTCTAGTTTTTATGTCTTCTTTAGATTCGCGATATTTTGATTTTTTGTATTACTGTTAGATCTCTGTGTTAGTTTATTCTATATTGAGTAATAGATTTTTTTTATTTTTTGATCCAGAGAATGATTGTTATTTATATAGAGTTATCATCTGATATATGTGGTGATATTTATATTTTTATAATGTTAGTTGGGATGAGTCCTATTAAGAATTAAGATCCTAGTGTGTTAGTGTAGAATTGTTTGATATGCATAGTGTTCGTTATATCTTAGTGAGTGTTTGCAGAGATATATTGTTTTATATTTTCTTATGTTTTTGATTTATAGCTTTGTGACCGTTCAGTGATATCTGTTAATTAGAGTCCCTTATCTCGTTTTAGTCAAAGCTGTATAGATAGTTTACTATCATATGTTAGTTTTTATTGCGAAATTTGATTTTGTTGCTTATTGATAGTTAGAGTATTTCTTTACGTAAGTTAGTTATAGATATAGGTTGTGTATTATAAGATTACTTGTTAGAGTTATCTCTTGCTTTGTAGTTATTTTAATTTTTTATTTATGTTTGTATTCGTTAGATATTGAGTCATGTTGAGTTTTCTAAGATTTTTATTTATATAATTGATTGATTATGATTTTCCGTCTTCGTCCGATTAACTGATTTTGTTATTTTTATTGTTTTGTGTTTGCTGTGAATTTGATAGAGATAGTAATAGAGTTTTTGTTATAGTAATATATA